ACAAACGTGATAGTTATAGCGCTCTACAAACAGAGGCTAGATCGGTCTGGTGAAAACGGAGCAGTGTTTTATAAAGTTAGCTTAGATTCGTTAGAATCCTTGGTGATAGAGCCAATCAAAACTGTTTTAACAAATAGTGCGTGTCTGGGAGTTCAGCTTTCCGCTAATCACAGGTAACATCCATCTCAGCCAATATGTTTTTATGACCCGCCATGAGTATGGCCAGGACCACTTGCATTGTTCGTCATCTTTTTGTTCCATCTGTCCTTCGGTCACACTCGTTAAACCCAGTTTGAAAGACTTTTCAAGATATTTTTGTCACACCTCATATCCTGATAAAAATTGATGAGAACTATCCAACTGGTTCAATATTTTTTGATCTTGATCTTTCCTTTGACCTTGACCCCATTTTCAAAAAATATGTTTAGCTCAGTTTCAAAGATACTATTCAACTTTCAAGACATTTTTATTAAGCCTTACCTGCCGATACATATTAGAGAGTGAGAAAGAGAGAGAGAGAGAGAGAGAAAGCTATTCCATTTCATCAAGAAATTTTAACCTGACATTTCTTTTGACTTGAACCCCACTTTTTTGAATTTGTGTTTAGAAAAGTTTCAAAGAAACAATTTAAATGGTTTATTAAACTTCATACTCTTATCCTTGATTATTAAATATATTGAATTTAACCAAAACATTTGACCCTGACCTTTCCTTTGACGTTGACTTTACTTTTCTCAAATGTGATTCCAGCCTAGATTTAAAAGAAAATTGAAATCAGAATAATTTTATCAAACTTCATTTGGATACTTTTTGTTGAGTGATTTAAAATATATAAAAAATTTTATGATCTTGATATTTTCTTATTTTATTTAGTTGAAAAGAGATTTTTTTTTTTAGAAATTTAATTTAGAAATGCTGTTAGTTAATTATTAACTATGATAAATTCTAAATTGTTAATATTGTAGTCAGGGCTCTCGAGTTTCTATAATTGGGGCCATTTATGGGCCCCATTCCCAATTCAAAAAAAGGTACATTTTTTCCCAACTGAATGTGTTAATTTTACCAAAAGTCATTTTTCTCTAAAATTAAAGAAAATATAGTAATAATTAAATTTGTTTTTCACATTCCTCTGTGTCGCAAAACAATAATTAAGTTGAAAAAAAAAATCAACCCAATATATCATGCAGATAAAGAATAATGGTTATCCCCAAATTTCCCAAAATGTTGCTATTTTTCCCAATTTTGACGGACCCGGACCCATTCCCAAAGAGTGTCGCGAGAGCCCTGAGTAGTTTAGAATGTAATTCAAATCTGAACATTCAAAATTATGTGACATCATCAATGTTAAAAGGTACATGGTATACAACTTGAGGCGACTTTCAACTGAAGGGGTCTACATCATGCACGAGAAGGATGTCGTTACCATGGTGATCAGTCTGGAAAACACTGAAGAGCAACCGGAAATATTTTGTGACCCCAAACCTGCAGATGATTCATTAACAATATCTTACTTCTTTCCAAGTGTGTCTGAAGACCTCGTCGCAAAGTATACACTTTACAATTATTATGTAAAGGCTTTATGCATTTCATCGATAAAATTCATATTGAAATCTTATGTTTATAATTGTGTACAAGATTTAGTCTTTTTACATTATTTTTTTTACTTCTCAGTGAATCTGAACCGGATGTTGTTTTCCTATGGGATCGTCACTCGCATAAAGTCGTTTCCAGGTTACACCATCACACTTGTGTGAGTGCTGTTGCCTTCCACCCACGTGACCAGGAAGTCCTAGCTAGTGTAGCAGACGATAAAAAACTCAGAATATGGACGTCTTTGATTAGAAAAGAGAGCTATATAATTGATTAATATCTGGAATATAATGTCGCATAGCGCCATCAAATTCATTTTTTGTACATTGGATGTTTATTTCGTCATAGTTGTACCACCTAGAAATCTTTTGTCTATCATTTATATCAACAAGATTTTGCCTCAAACAAGTCCGTTATGGAAATGCCAAATATTTGTTATTTTTGTGAAATACAGGGAGAGGAACGAATCACAAACATCATTGGCTAGCAAAGATGCATGTACACATCAAGCTCTTAAATACAAATGTGTAAAATTCAATTGAGAATACTTTCAAATAAACTCTCCGTAAATACAATTAGGATAAATCTGTTTCATGCACCTGATTGAATTCTACGTCTGGAAAATCCAACTTTTAATCCTATAGCGCCATGACAAAAGTATTCCCAATTTGTAAAAAAAAAAAAAAAAAAAAACGCGCTTCAAGGAACATAATAATATGTATGATGTGTAATTAGATTTCTCTCTTTGGTGTGCAGTGTAGAGAGGGTTCTTAATACAACCATTCCTCACGATAAATTTAAATTAGGTTTTCATTATAATAGACAGTGTTCAGCTTCTTTAATAAAAATGAAAGTCAGACATTTTCCTTCCTTGTGATTGGTCATCAACAAAATAACTTCGATGTAAATTCGTTCGAGTCGACTCACAAGTACTCTGAAGTTGATAATAAAATGTTGTTTGAGTTCCTCATAGACTTTTTGTACCAGGTAGTCTTCTAGGAACAGATTTTCCAACATTATTTTGCAATATTCCGATGGGCACTAGTTGTATTATCCGGTCTTTTTGTTTAATCAGATGAAGCAGATTCACGCACGAGAAGAAGAAATCCTTGTTTTTTGACCTTCAACTCAACATTTAGATATATAGACGATGTATTATATCAATTCACAATACTTACTTCCATTCATATGTCGATTCGGTATATCCTAGTGAACTTGAAATAAGTTACCTCGGATTCTGCCACATCTGTATCCTATTTGGATGTTTTTCTGACTATATAGACGAAAAGGGCCAACTATAACAATTTAACTGTATATGACGAAGCAGATGAATTCATCTTTTTATCGTAAAATTTCTTTATCTATATATCACATTGACACACATATATATTTACTATAATAGTAATATTTTGCTATCATCTTCTTTGGTGTTTATATCTCCCAACTCTTTCAATACTCGATAGGATGCTCTGGGTACACTCGATTTTCAATCCGGTGCAGGCTACTGACAGATAAGCGGATACTACAGGGATTTCGACAACCCTGTTTTGGTCATATCACCCACTCATCTTAGAAATCCGTCATCGAATTCTATGAGTTAAGGAAATGCGTGATGCATGTTCCAGTGGAATAGTGGGCCTGTGCGTTGAGCGCCAAATGTCACAGGAGATGAAAAATCAAGTTTCAACCGGGACTCGAACCCAGGGCCTTTGACGAAACGTGCCAGCGCTCTAACCACTACTTATACTACCAATACTTATTTTATTATATCCGAAAATCCTGAATGTATGGTCATTGATTGTCGAAGTGTCAATTTTTGTGGGGTATTATTATAATAGTTCAGTGTGATTTGAGGTACCCAGCCAGTTACAAATTCAAATGAATATGTCAATGTTGTCTGTTCTGCAGTAACCTGGAGTAAAATGTATTTATTTTAGATCAGGATTTTTGGATCCGTGCCTAAATCTATAAATAGATAATTGTTTTGATCCGGTTGCCTCACTGGATACGAGGAAGCGAACGGTTAAATATTTTGATATTTTCCTTTATTTGATGGAGTGAAAGGAAACAGAAAACTATATGTGAACATAGTCAGATGGTGAGTTGTTGTTTTAGATACATTAGATGGCCGTAATTTAGTAAGATTATGGTTCTTATTTTGTTTTGTACTGGTGTCAGCTAATTAAAGAGTTACCTCCCTTAGATCGACAGTGCGGACGAGAACTGCTGGGAACATCTGACTGATCCAGTTCTACTTCATATATTCTCTTATCTGGACAAAAATGAGTTAAACAACGTGTGTAGAACGTGCAAGGTACATGTATATTGTTTTCTATGATTCGCTTGTCTGTAATTTTTCTTACCGTTTTATAGAACATTATCCTATTACCTTAATTATTATACCCCCCGCTTGAAAAGTGGGAGGGTATATAGTAATCGTTAATTCCGTCCGTCCGTGTTTACGAGAGTGCATTTATTGGGTATTTTTCATGCCAAGATTGTACTTATTGGGTACTTTTTGCTTATTGGGTATACCCAATAAGAAGTGTCGCTGAATATGCTTAAAACACCCTAATTGGGTATTTGCAGGTTAGTACCCAACAAAACTTGGACACTACGATTTGTCCAAAAAAGTGTCCAAAAAAGTTGCTTTCACGGACGCACCGTGTTTTGTTGTTTCAGTTTTACATTCGGAACTCTAAATTCTCGAAAGTTCCCAAAATCAACTTCCGTTGATCCTGATCATAACAACGTTTGTTTTCATGGAAAAAAATATGGCGACTAAGAAACACTTAATGTCAACAAGATTTTCTGACTGACAAGAGAAAAGGTAAGTTTATTCGATTAATATCTATCCATTGCTGGGTTCTTGTTTAAGGAAAATAGATTTTAATGTAATTTTGAAAACAATTGTGCACAAAATTAAAATAGATATATCGGAACAATTAATCTTAAGTTGCACTTGTTTGTATTTTGAATTTTCTCTGTCTTTTTAACTCTCTTGAGGGCGAGAAGTATTTAGTAAATGATCGTATATTGTTAGATACTATAGTAATCTTTCATAAATCGAAAGTGTTAATTATTTAATTTTATATCATAACCAACTAAGTATGTTCTGACAATGTATATTGGAAAGGGAAATGAAAATTTTAACAATTGTGTGTTCATAAATCAGCTGTAAATTATCGGTTCATGTAGACAGTATTACAATCGCAAAGTGAGCTGAGATGATGATAAATGGGATAATTGACAACAAGTAAATAATTGTATGTAAGTTTATCTCATCTGATATGTAACTTAAGAGATTCATTGTATTACTGAAAAACTTTCAGTCAAAACAGTGTTTCTTTCTGTCTTTGATTTTGACTCAAATCAAAAAAGTGCTAAATCTAAAGCAAACTAGCATGGCGCGGCGCCATGCCCTTTTTTCTCGGCACCATGCCCTTTTTTCCAGCGCCATGCCCTTATTTCCTAACACAAAATTAATAAATATGCCCAGTTTAGGCAATATTCATTTGCTGTTCTGTTTATTCAGTGCATGCTGATAATCACTTTGTTTAAACAACCACAGGAAATCACTTCACGCTTGAACGCACGCACACAGCCACCTGTCTAATTAACATGCCTCAGGCTGTCAGGGTAGAGGATTTAATTTGAGAAACTATCATTTGATTGCATTGATCATGCAAGAATTAGTCCAAGACCAAAGATAAATAAACTTGTAAATTTTATTAACTAATAAAAATCAGGATCGTTTTTTTTTAAAAACCGAAAGTAGAATAAAATACATAGTTGAACTTGAAGAAAAAACGGATATTTTATCTGAATAAAATACTTACAGTGTACCAAAAATGAATGTAATGTAAAAGGCTTAAAAACAATCAACTAAGTTAGTTTCTTTAATTGAACTGATAGATTTGACAAGCTGAGGGTCAATGTTTCTAATTAAAGCAAGAGTTTTTTAAACAAATTATACATGGCAGTAAGACCAGTTTTCACATGATCCTGTTGGTAGAATATTTTCCAAGTAAAGAGAATGGTCTCTACATGTATTTTTCAAAATGCCCATCCCCCTTCCCTGAAAAAAAGTATTTTCCTTTAATCTTTAAATTGACTATACTTGTAAACAAATAACAGTCCAAGCAGGAAAAAAAAAAAAACAATCATACCTCCAAACTTTAATAATTTTTGCACCTCTTTCAGCTAGATTAATACCATTACTTTCTTAAGTGTAATCTTACTACTTTTTTTTTGGAATAAATTGGATGTAAATGCCTTTTTATATTATTTTTGTTTCTGAATCAATAATTAAAACATTGTTTAAAAAAAAGAATGGAATACAGATATATGAATTTTTCTTTAAATAACTTGTTTTAAATAAAGATTTCAATATGAAAGGATATTAAAAGTAATTAAACACGTTAAAGTATGTAAAAACTAAAAAATGTTAAATATAATTTCAATGACATTAACATTTGTTTTCAAAGTGCCCTTGTGAGATTCTGTCGCGACACAAAGTGCCCTTTTGATTCCTTGATTACCATGCCCTTTTTAGGGTCTAGATTTAACACTTTAAAAAAAAAAAAAATGAGTGTCTGCTTTATTTTGATTTTTTTTAAGATTATTGTTTTTGTCATTTGTTTTAATTAATTTAAAACAATACTGAAATTGATATAGGGCTACTATAACTATTTCACATGATGGGTGTGTAATTAGCATCGCGCTACACCCGGGGCTTCCATTTTTGAGGATGGGGCTAGTGTTTTTCTGCACTGAGGAATCCCCTTAGGCTATTAGGATTTTTAAAATACACATCTAATGCATGAAAAGCACCACTGGTAATTTCACTCTTTTTTGCTATTAAATTCCCTAATATGGAAATATTCCAGACTGCGCGCATGCTCATATTATCCATAAATCTCCACAACTGCATCCATTTTGCAGTACTACAAGACTGATTTACTTAAAAACGATCTTTTATTTCCTAATTTGAATTTCCCCCTTTCCTTTGTTTAATATAGCAATATTTGCTTGTACATATATGCCTCTCAGATATCTCATTATTAAATTATATACATTCACTCAATCAGCTCAATGATAAGTGTCATGCAATTATGTAGAGTTTTTTTTAAAGCCATATATGGCGTAACTGATCAAAAAAATATATTTTTGAAAAATACAAAATTAAGTACAGAAATATAGCTAATACATTTAAATTAAAGGTTTTCATACAATTCTGAACAGGGAGAACACATCGTCTCATCTAATAATACGATTTTATCTTCTCTGTAATGTGTTGTTTAAATCTTTTGTATTTTCTTCTAAGTCGGAGAATATTCCGAGAATCCAAATCAAATTTTGATATCTTAATATCGCAATTGACTTAGATTTTGTAATTTACGGAAATTTTCTATCTTTATCATGTTTATTTAAAGTCATGATACAAATAATAAGTTCTTATAATTTTAGTCTAATAATTTTCATTGTACATAAGCCATATATGGCTTTAAATGATTCAAGATGAAAACAAAATGATTTTTGCTTCGTATTAATTAGACGAACTAGTGAAAGACCAGAAAAGGAATATTTACCGTATATACTCGCCTATAAGTAGGTCCGCCTATAAGTCGGTTGTATTTAACAAGCTATATATCAGAGAGACTGACCTCATATGATACCATTCATTTTATAGTTCGCCTATAAGTCGGACATAGAGTTTTGGACCAGAAATTAACTCCAAAAAATCCGACTTATAGGCGAGTATATACGGTAAAATCTTTTTTTATTTTTTTAATCATTAATTTATGTATGATTAAATTTTACTAGTGAAAATTAAATTAAACTTTAATTTTAAAAAGAATCATCTGTAGTTAATACCCTGACTTTTTTCACGATGAACTTTTTTTTCAATGTTACTTTTTAATTTTTGTCTCTATATTTGGGCTTGTCACTTTTTACTCGGGGATAGTAACTTTATTGCCACAAAGCTGTGGATTAGTACTTGATTTTCTTTATTGCACAGCGATGACTATGATTTAATAGCACAAAAAGCTAATGGGTTTACGTATGTGAATTTATGATTAATGCTTACTTGTGATTTTAGGATGACTGGAGATAATGATTCCTTTTTTCTTTTGATATTACATAAATATTTTCATAAGTATTATGTTACAATAAATTGGTTAAGATTTTTTTTTAATAAAAGTAATCAATAATTACAATGGAAATGAAAACCATAATCATGTTCATTGAGGATTTTCAATATGTAACAGGTCAAACAGGAACTTCAATTGTGAACATTGCAGAGAACACACTCATCAGAAGATGACCCTCAGAAATAGGACAATTGTAAGTAATCAGTAAAATGAACAGGAATACTTCATGCCAACCATAAGATTTTTTGAGACATTTTCGCTTCTTAAATTAGAAGAGATAGAGGGAAAAACTTGTACATACTACATAACTACAAGGCAACCAACCTTTAACTGCAGGAAAGCTTTTGGTATGTGCAATACAGCTACATAAAACCTCTTTAGTATTCATGTTAAGTTTGAGAAAGTACCTTAGTATTTTTCTAGTGTTTGCCAACATTTTCATGCACACTGTTTGCTTTTTTGTACTATCATTTTATTTTAAATTCTTCAGATGCCCTTTACCTTTGCCAGTTTAGAATCATTTGTTTTAAGGGCATCTGAGGATTGGTTCCAGAACTTAATTAATTGTAAAGTAAATACTGGGGTACTATACGGTCATAGGTTATGTTAATACATGTATAACATTTTGTTCTGATAGAGGTGGCATACAGGAAAAGAAAAAAATACTAGATATCACTTCAAAGGAATAAAACAGCTTCATCTTGTAGGTGTATTTTATTTAAGGATCACTACTTCATGTCTGATGTGCTGAAAGTTATTCATAATCTGTTTGACTGTAATTTTTCAAATTTCCATTTTTTATCCAGCTCAGTCAATTTTAATTAAATTTTGTGCAAAGCATACCCCAGGAAGGGGGAATGGAGTGTCAAGTGTGTCTCTTTCCCTGTCAATATAATTTCAAAGCAGTTAGTAAGGTTTGGGTCAATTTTAAATCCTCTTTAGCAGAACCATTGGGCTAAAAACAATACTAATGTGAAAGCTTTATCATTTAATAAGTGTAGAGATGTTTTTGAAGATTATGTACCCCTAATGTACTTATAGTGTTACATTAGAAGTCTAAAATGTGCAAGGAATAGGTGTAAAATCTTTTTAAAATCTCCTTCTTAACAACCAGAAACTAAGATACTGTCTAATTAATATGCAACATCGTTTTGTGTGT